GTACTTTTCTACTGTGCATTCTAAGTCATTCCGGCTTGTGGCATGCTCAGCTACTAAGGGGACGGTTACACCCTCGTGTACAGACCCTGGGAGTTGCCTCCCGGGTGACTTGCAAGCATCTGGGGTTTGATAAACAGAGATTTTAGTTACAAGACAGCTACACCCTTGTCGGGGGCTTGCTGAGCCACACTGGGTTTCCCTTGTGTTCAAGTTCATTGAAAAGGTATTCCAGGGCTGGAGAGATGGCTCAGTGGTTAAGAACACTGGCTGCTCTTCAGAAGACCTGAGTTCAATTCCCAGCACCCACATGGCAGCTCACAACTTTCTGTAATTCCAGTTCCAGGAGATCTAGCACCTTAACACAGACTCATCAATGCAAATAAATAAATCATTTTTTTTTAAAAAATTACTTCCCAGGGCTCATTAGATTAAAGCATGTGATTAAAAACAAACAAATAAATAAATAAATAAATAAATAAATAAAAGATATTCCAGGAGCATATTTCAGTTAGATATTGACCTGCCTTTACCTATTTTTAAGGAAGATTAAAATCGTTCTTAAATTTTATTTTGTTTTGGATAGTCTGAGACATGTTCTCATTATGTAGCCCAGGATAACCTCAAACCTGTGAACCTCCTGCCTCAGTCATGTGCCACCATACTCAGTTTGGATTAGAATTTTATGGTCCTCACACAGGTGACTCCATGGACAGATATTTAGATTTTTGTATTTCTTAATCTTTTAGAATATAAAATAGTCTTTTATATCTAAGCCTCGGAGACTTTTCAACATGACAGGATGCCACATGGCTTCACCTTCTGTCATGTAAAACCGCTAGCTCTTGCAGATGCGACACATACCTGGTGGGCTCCAGAGGTCTCATGGGGGTTTGTTTGACTCTATGGCCCTATTTCCAGAGAGCCCCAGTTAACAGGGTAATACAGAAAAGCCAACCAGACCCCTTCCCTTCCAGCTGAGGATGCTCTACAAATGAATCACCCCTGAGCGTACTCACCTGCATTCTGAGCTGCACCCTTTACACCTGGATTATGTTAGACCAGTTAGATCATCACCCAGCCCCTGGGTGTCTTGTGACAGGTGGTACTGCTACCTCATGTTAGCACCGTGAGAACAGTGAGTTAATGCGTTCGGAGCACCTACACACCCAATACCTTCTCTGCACTCACTTTCTGACTGCGGAGATCAAAACGCCTTTCCATGCTTTTCCATGATCACTGCAACAAGTTATCTGAGATAATGAATTTGTAAAGACAGAAGAGTTACTGCCTCAGCTTTAGAGGTTCTGGTCTGTCCCTAGAGACCTATCACTGTGTCGTGGTGCCAAGTGGTGATGGAGATCTGGGGCAGAGCAGACCCACGTCATGGCCAGTAAGCAAAAGAGGATGAGGGAATATGGCCCTATCTTTCCCCATGAGACTGCCCCCGTGATCTGAAGTCTTCCCACTTGGCCCAACCTCCTCTATAAAGGCTCCACCATCTGCACATAGCACCACCATGACCCCAAATCTTTAATAACTGTAAGAAACTTGAGATCCCAACTCTAGGAGATAAGATGGGCATTAGAAGATCACCCTGCAGCTGAGAACTTCGCTCAGCGGTAGAGCACTTGCTTACCTTATGTGAGGCCCTGGGTCAAGCCCAGCTCCCACCCCCCACCCCCCACCCCCCGTGGCCTCATTTAAACACATGGATTCTCGGTGTTAGAACGTTAGAACGGCTGCTGGGGTTGGAGTGCTGCCTTCTCCAGGGGCTTTGTTAAAAGTCAGCGAGAGACTGGGAAGATGCTTCAGTGGTAGGAGCGCTTGTGCTACAAGCCGGAGGACTGGGTTCGAATCCACAACACTCAGATGAAAAGGCTGTGCATGCTTATATAACCTCAGTGTTGGGGGCTGGAGACAGCTTGATCCAGCCAGTCCAGCACCAGAGCCGAGTTTCTTCTTCAGCCAAAGACCCTGTCTCAAGTCAGTAAGACGGAGAGTGATCAAGGAAGACACACGACATATTGCTGTGGGCTCTGCATTTGCACTCTTGGATGCTCACCTGCACAGACTTAATGTGCAGGCACCACACACACACACACACACACACACCAGTGAATGAAACAGACTTTTCAAGAGTTTCTGTATCATCTCCTTTTCACCTATTAGCAAATCTTCACTGAACTTCTACCACATTTAAAAAACAAAACAAGGGGATGGGGATTTAGCTCAGTGGTAAAGCGCTTGCCTAGCAAGCACAAGGCCCTGGGTTCGATCCTCAGCTCCAGAAGAAACAAAACAAACGAACAAACAAACAAACAAAACAACTGTGGTTTAAAGAGAAAGCAGCAAGGACAGGCTTTGGGAAGGGGATAAACTCTAGAGGAGGCAGCTTTGACCAGAGCCCTGTGTGCTGGGTGGACTTTGCACTCACAGAAATGGACCAGCGGACATGCCATGTGAGGTAAAGAAAGAAATACAAGCCTAGGTTAAGACACAGGGACACACAAGGCCTCTGGAAAGAACTAGAACACATTGGGGTGGCGCTTGGAACCTAGAACTCAGTACCTCCGGAACAGGCCAGATGTTAACCCACTAAAGAGGGGGAAACTGCCTCTGGGTGTTTGCTACCGGCTTGCTACCGGCCGGCCATCTTCCGAAGGAAAGCTTCCACATTCTGCCGTCTCAGTCTCTGGGCAGCTTTGACTGGAGAGTGAAGAGGTGGGAAGATTGAAAGTGGAAGACGGTTTTAGTGAACAGGCACAGGGCAGCAGGGGACAGCGTGCGGGCACCAAAAAGTTGATGGAATTTGTAGCTTGTCTCTTTAACATTTCTTGTCAACTGTGAGTGTATATTTCTAATACAACTTATATTAACACTATCAGTCTCTTCCTCAGAATAAACAGAAATCAACAGGTAGTAAAACACTAGCTTAACTGTGATAGGCTAATGGCAGAGCAGCATAGATGTTTATCTTAGAGGACAGAAAACGTTCTAGGCATCATTTCCTCTCCAGTGTATAGGAACCCAAAGCTTTACACAAGTGTGTTTCAGCTGGAAAGCACACATTCATATGATTCTAAGATTTTGCCTTTTAAAGTGGACTTTCTTTTCTTTTTATGTATACATGTATTGGGGGGGGGTGGGTGGGTTTACATATAAATGCAATTGCTCTTAGAGGCCAAAAGAGGGCGTCCAATTCCCTGGAACTGGAGTTACAGATGCTTGTGAACTACCTGATGTGGGTGCTGGCAACTGTAATCAGGTCTTCTAGAAGGACAGTGCGCTCTCTTAACAGCTGAGCCATCTCTCCAGCCCCAGATCTTTCATTTTTTCCAGTATTCAGCTACACTGTTAAGAAACAGTGAATGGGCACAGTCACTCTGGAAAATAAAACTGCGGTGGAATAATGAATTAAGCCAGATGTAGTGGCTCATACCCTGATCCCAGCAGAGGCATGATGATAACCAGAGGCTCAGGCCAGCTTGAATGGCATGGGAATCTGTCTCAAAACCAAACACACCATTTCATTTTAAACTTGAATGTTCATTTTATTTTACCTAAGTAATACATAGAATTTTAAATTTTCAAACATGTAACTGTGCAAGTTTTTGGAGTTATTCTTGGCTGTTTTATACAGCATCTCACTTTGTTGCTCAAACTCCATTTCTTCCACCCTCAGCCTCCTAAAGTGCACTGATAGTCATTTGCCACCGTGGCCACCATCTGTTGGACTTTGAGTGAAACTTTTCATAATGTCTACATTTAAAATTGTCTGCAATAAATTTACTCAAATACTACCGCCGAAATTCACCTTGTGCTAGCTTTTTAAATGTTTGAATAATTAGTGATGGTAGCTGTAAAAGAATGAAAGTTTCCTCATATACCTTTAAAAATTATTTTATACACCTGTGTGTGTGTGTGTGTGTGTGTGTGTGTGTGTAGCACGCATGACTGCACATGCAAATTTGCGTGCAATGGTGTGCACACGGAAGTCCAAGGACTCTCCTTGCACCTCGTGGGTTCCAGGAGTCAGCTCAGGTCGTCTGTCAGGCTTGCCCAGCCAGTGAGTGCCCATATCCCCTGAACCCTCTCACCTTCCTCATAAACACCCTTTTTATATGTTGCAATTTGCCTTTGTCAACACAGCACTAAGTGAAGCCCACTTGAGTTTGGAATTCCCTCTCTGCCTCCCTCCACCCTCCCTCTCTGCGAGCACCCCCCCCACCCGATTCTCAGCACCCGGCCTGCATTTGCAGGCTATAATTTGCCCCTGCACGCTGCACCTTGTTCCTGTGTTACTGCCTTCTATGTGTATTGATATGCCTCATTTATCTCTTTAAAAGACCAAATTAATTAGGGCCGCACTGTTCTGTGATTATTGGATATTGATTTCCAATTTTATTAACAAGAACCAGAAACAGTAAATATACTTTTGGCCTAAGCTAGATATAAATACATTACTTTGTAGATTTATGAACTACTACCCATATTTTGTTTCAATAAATAATTTTGTAATCTGGAAGCATAAAGATAACAAACGGTACCTTTCAAAATAGGGTATAAAAATAGCGTAGGCTGTTTATGTGAACAGGAAATAAATTGACCAAGGTCAAAAACATCCTTTCCTTTGTTCTCTCCTGTGGTTTGTAACACAAAGCTGGCCTGGGATAGGGCTTGGTAAACAAATCAGATCAGAAAAGCTCAGTTATATAAAACATGATCAAGCTTTTTGTGCCGACTTAAATTGATTCTCTATACATGTAACACTTCAGATTGCTCAGTTGCCTGGAGTGTTTCTGTCATTGTTTGGTTCTTGACTTACTCTTGTGTTAATTATTTTCTAAACCTGCTACAAGGAAATTCTCCATCCTTTTTTAGGAAGACTATCACACTAGTTGCAGATTTTTTTCCCCTCCCCAGACTATATTTTGAATCATTTCCGTGTCAGCCTTTGTTATGAAGTCTTCGTCTTTCTTTTCATTTAATCCTGCATCCTTCTTTTCCAGTTTTAATGATTGTTTGTAAGCTGCTTGGAGCCCTCCAGTCACATTTGATCATGCAGTACAAAGCCTCATCCAGCTGTCCTGTAGGAGCCTTTTGTGGGGCAGGATGAGTACTCAGCATGCAAGAGGTGCTGATTTGGATCCCCAGTGATGAAGAAAAAAAGAAAAGAAAACGCTTTGGTCTGCTGTCAAGTGTTAGGGATTCCTAATGCACCCTCTCTCCCTTGACTCACCCTGTCCTTGAAGCATCTCTCAGGATTTTATTTAATGGACTCTTAAAACTCTAAACTAGCCTTTGTCTACCACACAGATATGCATACTATCAGAAAATACTGAAAGCATAGTTTCATTACAAATCGCAGATCTCAAAAGCTTTTTAAATGTTTTACTTATTATTGTTGTTTGGGGGGGGGGGGTCCTGACCCATGTGTGGAGGTCAGAGGACAGCCTTGTGGATCTGGTTCTCACCTTTGCCTTTAGATGGGCTCCCAGGGTGGAGCTCAGGTCATCAACCCCCCCCCCCCACGGTGAGTATTCCACCCACAAGGCTACCTCACTCGCCCTTGAATATCTTTGATTAGCTTTCCTTCTTCTTTTTTAATGAACCGGAGCTGGAGATTTTCTTTAAAGTATTTTAATATAGGTGTGAACACAAAGGTTAGAAGAAAAAGGTACTCAAAGAAAGTAAGGTACATTTGAGAGCATGGGCTTGGCTTCTCAAAGACTTGTCTTGGCTTAGCTTTTTCAATATTTAATTTTTTTTCATATATTATTTTTCTATGAACTATGGGAGAATAGAGGTAGTCAGAAAATTGAAGTGTCATCACCAAGAATTCATCGTCTTCAGAACAGAGGACAGGGAGCCAGGAGATGGAGGTCAGAATCGGGCCGTGGGTGTTTGTAGCTCGGTGCAGAGCACTGGTGTGGCATGAGCAAAGCTTTGGGTTTGGTGCCCAGCAACACAGGGAGAGGGCAGAGATCACACAGCTGGCTGGCAACAGGACATTGGAACCTCGTTCCTTTAAAAGAAGATGCTCCTCGATAACCATGATAGTTATGGATTAATTTTTAGCTTATTTGTGAGTCAGTTCTAAAAAAACATCACATGTCTGGAAACGCCTTCTTCTTTTTTAAGACAAGTCATTGAAACACAACAAGAGGAGGCAGTATCATGAAATCATGCTCTTTTAAACAGTTTTTTTCTTTATTTTTGCCTGTGTCTGTGCCCTACATGCATGCAGTGCCTAAAACGGCCAGGAGAGGGCGTTAGGTCACTTGAGTGGCGTTTTACGTGGTTTTGAACTATCACGTGGGTGCTGGGAGTGGCGCTTGACTCAGTGGTGGCTTAGGCCTGTGGCGAGGCATGATGTCATGGCAGAGAGTGTGTGATGGAGCTAAGCTGCCTGCCTCCTGGCTGTCAGGAAGCTCGGGGAGAGGGAGGAAGAGCGTTCTCTTTTACAACAAAGCCCTTTCCTCACTAACTCGTTAACGTAGGAATCATGGGTCCTCTGGAAGTGCAGCCAGTGTTCCTAACCACTGAGCCATCCCTCCAGCCCCATGCTCTTCTTTTAGACTTACAAAAAAAAAAATTATTTATTTTATTCCCACCGAGAATTAAGAATTTTAAGAAAGACAGTTGTACAGAGTCTGTTCACAGTTGATGCTTAAGAACCACTGTTCTTCCAGTAGACCGTGAACTTTAAATTATCTGGAAAAAGCATTGGAAGAACTCCAGAAAACAAAGACAGAGAGAGTTGTCTTGAGACAAGGAAGACTAGAAAGGGGCAGTGCACGCAGGCATTTCCCAAAGCCTGGTATGGAGAAGTGTGTGTGTGTGTGTATTCAGTGTGTGTGCATTAACGTTGCCTCGAATAGGAGGTGGTATCCAGGAACTAACTCTTCCTAGAGATACAGAATGCCTGGCATGACAAAGCCCTGGGATCCATCCTTAGTGAGGAAGACAGAGAGACAGAGATTGATGGAGAGGGAGGTGAAGGGGGGGGGGAGAGAGAGAGACTTTGCAATTTGTGCTAAGGCCTAGGTTTACAGTTTTCTTCAAGGGAAAGAAGGACTGGATGGCTGAAAGGTTAGTATAAATCCGGTCCAGCAGTTATGGAATAATGGGCCTGATTTGGACATTCTCTAAAGCCCAATGATGAACTATGGCCAGATAAATTAAAAAGAGGAAGAAAAGACTTTTAAAATAAGTAAAATGGTTTTGAAGGTTTTGTATGAAAGGAAACTGGGTGAAGAACCTTCTAGCAGCTAAATCCTTTGTGATTAATTGGGAGCACTGAACGGGCCGTAGATTTTATGCTCTACTGTGTTGTTCTGAGGGCTGCATGCCCTCCCTTCCCAGCTACCCTGTTGAAACTGAATGGACTCATCTACTCGTCCTTATATTGGTATGGCACTTTGGAATTTGTAGAGATGGTTCTCACTGTACTATTATCCCATTTGTTCTGGATGATTGCCTAAGAGGAGAGAGACCAAGAGTTCATTCCTTAGACTGCTCATCTAAAGTCTTCCCACTCAGAAAAGAATCATTTCTGTAGTTCCATTGTGTCAGTCAACTGGGGATATCACAGAATGCTTGAGAAAATCAGCGGCAAAGATCTACTTTGGCTCACATGTTTGAGGTTGTGGCCCGTGGTAACTTGGTCAGTGGCAGGCTGTGTACCATGTGGTTGGGAGCATGTAATGGGGCTTAGCTGCTCACCTAACGGCTGTCAGGAAGCAGAGGGAGGGAGAGAAAGAGTTCATTTTGACAGCAGAACCCCTTCCCTCCCAAGTCTGTGAATGTCTTGTCAATCATTGAGCTCAGGGTCAGTATCCCAGCATCCACCTCTGATACTGTCTTGGGAACCGAGGTTTCTACACACAAGCCTTTCAAGGACACTTAGGGCTGAACCCAGAACAGTCATGGTAAATAGTAGATATTAGATTGGGATCCAGATCTTCAACCCAGGAAGCTCCTGTCCTCTCCAGGTCCTATGGGTGTTTTGAATGTAAATCCTCACTTAACCATTTGCAGCTCTCCCCTGGGCAAACAGTAGCTGGGCAGTGTCCCCCTGGTGACTCTTGGAAGCTTTGGGCCATGGGAGCTCAAACAGTCACTGGACAACCTGACAGTGAGGTGAAGAGAGCAGGGGAGGTGTTCCTTGTACAAGCCTTCCTCGCCTGAATGGTGTGCATCTGTTAAATGGGAAAGAATCAAAGGAGACAGACCCCTGTAGACTATGAAAATACCGGGGTTCCTACACCGGTTCTGTAAAATATCATGTAGGTGTTTGGTTTGAGGGTTTTTATTGTTTCCTTACTTAAAGGAGTTGAGGCCCTTACAAACACTATTACCTTTCATGCCAAGCACACAGAAAGTAAACTGCAGAGCTGTGGGCGTGGCTTGGACATGGATAGGATGCTTGCCCGGCATGCGTGAGGTCCAGGTTTGGTTCCCTGGCAGCAACAAGGAATAAAAATAAAGCTGGGAAAAGTAAAGTAAGTATGATACAGACGTCCTTTAGAGATGGGTCCTGTGAAGGTGACACATATCTATAATCGCAGCACTGGGAAGGCTGATGCAGGAGGATCACTAGTTTGAAGCCAGCCTGGGCTGTATGGTGAAGTTCTAGGCTAGCCTGGAGTGAGACCTTGACTCAGAAAAGAAAGAAAGAAAAAAAGAGAAAAAAAGGAGCTGGCTCAGGGCACTCTTTTTGCATGAAGTATGCCATCAAAGAACAGCACTAAGGGCTTCGGAAAGCAATTTCCAACCAGAGTTCACTCTTGAGTTTTGAGGATCAAACAAAGCTGAACTTTTTTAGATAGAGAGCTTTATTGTGGAGTGGAGCAGTAGTGATCTGCTCTAGTTTCTGTAGGAATTCTGTCCGGTTCTTTGTTTAAATGTCTTGCTTAACATTGTTTATTATTAGGATAAAAATCTTAATCAGGCTCTGAAGAGATGCTCAGCAGTTCCACCTGCCACTCTTGCAGAGGACCCCAGTTCAGTTCCCACTTCCCATGTGGGGTGACTCATAGCCACCTCTAACTCCAACTTCAGGGGATCTACACATTCTTCATACATACTCACATAATTAAAAAAAATAGTTTTTAAAAACTCTTAGCCAGTGGTAATAAATATAATCCTTTATGGCTATATAGATCTTCAAGCTCTTTCAAAGTTTGTGTTTCAGGCATCTTAGATAATTAGATGCATAATGTGGTTAGAGATTTTCTGTTTCCTTGAGTTGTCTTGACTAGAATTTGCCAAAGTGTGCTATAGGTACATTCAGGTACATTTGAGATACATTGTATTAAGTACAGCTACATTAGAGATACATTGTATTAAGTACAGCTGCATTTGAGATACATTGTATTAAGCACAGCTACATTTGAGATACATTGTATTAAGCACAGCTACATTTGAGATACATTGTATTAAGCATACGGTTTCTTTCTGCAGGTTGCCCCTGAACCTATACATCATGAACCCACAACTTTTTAAAGGGCAAGGTGTAATCTATAGTAATTTTCCAGGCTTATAAGTTCATGTATTCATTGATTTCTTCAGTCCTAAGGGTGGAGCCTAGGGTCTTTAGCATGCTAGTCTAGTGTTCTCCCATGGAGCTACGCATCCAGCCCTGCTGGTTTTTTATATAACTAAGATAGCTCTTGTCTTAGAGTATCTGTACTGGTGTGTTATAAAAACATACTTTTGGAAAATGCCAAATTAATATCTGGAAGGAAATGTTAGTATTTAAGACCAAGTTTTTTTACTCAAGATGAAAAACTGTTGTCAACCTTAATTTTTATAGACACAGAACCATCTTTATTCAAAGAACCACACACATTCATTCTTTTCTGTCTTCAACCATGAAACTTTTAAGTCATTTTTTTAATCATAAGTGTCCTATTAAGATTATATGTGTTTGTTTGTTGAGACAGTTTCTCTATGGTCCCGGCTGTCCTGAAACTCACGCTGTAGCTCAGGCTGACCTTGAACTCTCAGAGATCCTCCTGTCTTTGCCTCCTGAGTGCTGGGATTAAAGATGCTCACCACCACATCTGGGTATCTGTGTTCTTTATAGTAAACAAGAGTCAGTGTACAGGAAGGGTCCCTAAAAAGGATAATGCTTAAGAAAACTATGGTGCATACTATTAGGCTGAACATAGCAGTAGTGGGTTACTGTGGCGGGGGGTAGCAAGTTTGAGGTCAGCTTGGGCTACATAGTGAGACCCTGTCCGAAAAATAATCAAATGCTTTTAAAAGAATATTTAGTAATAAGGGAACAACCAAAAAATGTATGGAGATACAAAGACCATAAAACAGATAGCAGTAGTTTTATCAAGAATATGTAGTGTTTTTCTGACAATGTAAAACAAGCAAAGTTTGAAAAAGTAAACCCAAAACTAACAAAGCAAGCCCGAAAAGATTGGCAGAGATGAAAACACCAAAATGTTAACCTTGTGAATAAATCAACTAAACAAATATGTTACCACATCTCAAGGTGGCAACACAGCGCCACTTGTCATGGCTTTGGCCTTATGTGTCCTGTGTTTGGGAAAGTCAGATCTCCGGAAATCAGATCCGGATGGGAATTCTACCTCTGTCTGTGATTCCCGGAGGCAGACTGGTCTTTGGTGCAGCAGCTCCTGCATCTTTGAACCCAGAAGGAGGATGTACAAAATGCATGCCTGTGAGGAATGCGTCCTTTTCATGTAAGGGAGCCAGGAGGGTGAATTCTGAGAGCCTCGGGCTGGGGCCTCAACCTGGACTGATACTTAAGCGTCAATTCCTTTTGGCAGGTGAATGAATTAGTTAGTTTCCTTGTTGCTGTAACAGAATAGCAGACAGAGCACTTAGGGGAAGAACAGTTGAAAGAGAAAGGTCAGTCTTGTGGTGAAGGCATGGCTGAATTCATGGTAGCAGGGGCTTCTTCCATGGCACTGCCCGGAAGCCGAGAGCCACACTGGGGTCAAGACTAGCATAGAATCCTCAAAAGGCCAGTAAGGCTTATGTCTGCCAGCTAGACTCCATGTCTACAAGGGTCTACGGTTTCCCAAAACATCACCACTGGCTGAGCCCAAGTGTTCAAATCCATGAGCCTGTGAGGGACATTTCAAATTCAAACTATAAGGACAACAAACTACAAAAGTCTAATTGGAGGGCAGGGCCAGTGGCTCCTGGCTCAGGGCAGGGCCAGTGGCCGTGGCTCAGTGGCTGAGAAGAGTGCTTGCTGCCCAACCGGACAACCTGAGTTCAGTGCCCAGGACCCACAGCTGAAGAGAGTCCTGACCTCTGACCTCTATACATGGGCCGTGGCAATGCCTCCCCTCCAACAACAGAGAAATATATAAATGTGAAGAAAATCGTTATAGGAGGGCACTTGGAAATGAGTAGAAATTTTGCTTGGCTTTGGCCGCCGATGGATGACTAAGGTGCTCCAGGTACCACAGCCGGTCATTCCTCCAACCCGCTTGTTAACTTCCCAGCCTGTTTGCCCACAGCACCCTATAGACATGATCCTCTCCTCCCTGGTGACCAGCTCCTTCCTTTGTTCTCCTGATGAGCTCATCTTGTCTCCAAGCTTCTCCCAACTCTCTCTCTTCTAGTCCTTTCCCTGGCCCTTCTTCCCCCACTGTCTGGACTCCCGGCGTTCCCTGGGGCTCCATCCTCTGCACTCTTCTCCTCTTGCTCTGTGACTCATCTCTGTCACCTGTAATCTTACTCCATGGGTTTGGAATCTTCACTTTCTCTTCCCTCCTGTGGAGGTGACGAGGAACTGGATGTAGAGTGCTTATGCAGGCCATGTTACTCAAAGCGTCAGTGAAAATGGACACAGTGAAAAACAGCGCTCCATTTCACTCAAGTTAACTTATTGGATGGCAGGAAAGATAATTCTGCACCCAGGGTCAAAAAGAAACTAGAAGGAAATGGCATGCTGTTGAGGAAGCGAATGCAATTCGGTGTTCCAGCACTTTCTCGAATGCCCGCTCATCTCCCACCAGCCCACCTGTGTGATCATTCACATTGGTCACCACTTTACTGGCAGCTTTTCTGTTCCTTCAGATCTCACCCCCTTCCCCCTCCTGGACTGTGCCTCATTGACTCACATGTGCGTTCCTTGGGAAATGGTGCACAGGTTGGCAGTCCCATCTGCCCAGGATTGTAAGGTGCTTGAGACTTGTTCTCTGAAGCTCAGGGTCTTCCACCTGTTCTGACTGCCTACTGGTCCTTCCTGAACTCCAAGCCTCAAGTGAGCCCTGGAACAGGATGAATGAGGTTACAGTAATTAACACAACTCACTTGAGATATACTCTGCCAAATATTTTGAAGACAGACAGTTTAATTCTTACATTTTAAAATATTTTTTTAGATGGAATTTTATTCTTCTGGCCCACCTAGTTGTTCAGCTCCATGACATAGAAAAGAATTCTGGTTTCTCGGTTAAACACTAGGTCGCTGCTATTCAAGCTCAAGTTTCAGGGGTTTCCAACTTGGGCTTTTCCTCCACTTCTCCCGCTATAACAGGTGGACTCCTCGTTAAAATGCAGTCCAAGGGCTCAGCTGCCTGCCTGTGGGGTGAGCAAAAAACCCATGGCCTATAGGACCTGAAGGGACACGTCCTAAAGACTGTCAAACTCACTCACCCTTAGAGGGATAGAAGTTCTGAATTTTGACAAAATCTGTGTGGTGGTAAGTAGGTTTTCTATAACTTTAGAATGTACTTTACACAATAAGATGGGATGGATGAGATTTATTTTTAGTGTCTATATTGGTGAAATCACTTCTTGAAGTTTTAAAATTGTAGGTGTAAATCACATGCAGATATGATTTCTGGGATACTCTATTAAATATATTGCCATATAAACTGTAACATTTCCTTTCTAGTGTTTTCTAGGTTTAAAAAACCCCAACACATCATAAAGGGTACTCAGTCTAAATTCTGTGTTATGTTGGAAGAATTCTTACTGCCATTTCTGTGTGACTTGTTATGAAAATAAAAAACAACAAGGTAAGGGAAATCACTGCCTTAAGTAAAACACGTCCCCTCGGTACCACTGCTCTTGCACAGTGCTCTCGGCACCAGCATTCTCATTTAGCCCATTCTTACTTCAAGATTTATTTTCCTATTTCCCCAATCAAATGCAATAGTAGCATCTCCCGTTGAGAGGTTATACGTACGGTGTTTTCTCATTTCTCTAGCACCGACAGCTTGGTCCTAAGTCTGAATCAAGTATTTGGTAAATATTTATTAAGTGCTTACAGGAATGAGGAAGCTGGAGTCCTGCTAACTGACCTGGCAGTATGACATTTAATCCTGCTGTCCTATCAAAGAATTGAACTCCTTGTATTCCTCTGCATTCCTGCCTTCTTAGGCGTGAGAAGGTTGTCCTGAAGCCGGGCCATCTGTGCCACTCTTGGCTTTCAGTACAAACACATCCATGTCTCTTCCACCTTCCCAAAGAACGACACCCCGCTAGCTCTTTGCACCCACCATCCCTCCTCCCCCATTTTATGTTCTCCCTCCCCACTTAAATCTTATTTCTGAGACTCCCCCTCTAAAGTCAGGTAACGAGAGATTGTATTCTAACCCCCTTATTGTCTCTCACCAGCTTCATGACTGTAGGCCACTCACATGCCCTCTCTGACCCTGCAGACGCATCACATAGGGCTATTGTGGAAGCAGTGAAGTATTCTTGCCAAGCTCTTTTCCATTGCTGGGAGTGTGGTAAATGTGCAGGAAGTGATGGGCATTGTTCTTGCTGTCTTAAAGTGGAGTTGACTTCAGAGAAAGAGAGGTTCATGTAGGCTTAAGGACTGTTGAGTTCATCTAACTGTTTGGTTTTCAGATTAGGAAGTAGAGTTTAGATGAATTAAGTTGTCAGTTTCGTGGAGGAGGTGATGTTAAGTTGGATTTTGAAGGATAATAAAATTGGTCTTAGCCCGATCTGGTGGCATGTACCTGTAATCCTAGCGCTTGGAGGCAGAGTCAGAAGGATGGGGAGTTCACACCAACCTAAATATGTAGGGGAAACATCTCAAAAAAACCAGAGCCGAGTGTGTATGAAGCTGAGTATAGAACTCTTGCCCAGGATGTGTGAGGCCATCAGTCCTCTGTTCTCGGTGCCATCGAATGCAGTGACTTGTATCTGTGGACTGTTCTCTGTGGGCCAGGGACCATTCTAAATGCATTTCTCATATTGTTTCATTTAATATTCAAGACACTCTTGTGAGGTAGGATTTCTGAAGATAGTCTAGAGCTGGACAAGAAGGAAGAAAAGCATGAATAAAAACCCAGAGGTAGGAGCGCTGCGCTGACTGCTGGAGTTGGTAAGACTGACCAGTGAAGAGCTTGACGTGGGTAATGAGAAGTGATGTTAGCAGGGTCACAGGAGGTCTTGACCCCCATCCTAGAACCAACTTAAGCTTTCCTTGTGGGCAAAATACGGAGCAATTACAGACCTATGACTTGGGTAAAGAGGACATGGAGTAGAAGTTAGGTTTCAGGCAAGTTGACCTGTGGTGTGTACTGCGAAGCCCTGCTAAAGGCACAGCTTGAACTGTGCTCCTAATATCAGGGCGATGATATTATAAGTAACTATTATTTCCATTGATTAAACCTTGCATCTCACAGCAGGGGGCAACAGACAGACTCTCAACACTCGCATCCCAGCACTCCTGAGGCAGAGGCAGGAGGATTGTGAGTTCCAGGCTAGCCTAGACTACACATCAAGACCCCATCTCAGAACCAACAGCAAGAGCACATGTAATCCCACTCCAAAGAGACTTACATATCTCTTTACTTTCTGCTTCGACGCTGTCCATTCAAATTCCCACCACTTCTCCTTGCTAGTTACCAGGATTGTTGCAGAAGCCCCCTCTGTCCCCTGGCTGAGTCACTTCCATTTTCCTGAGTACCTGGCAGTCGCTCCTCCTCTGTCTAGTTCATACGGCTCAGCTCCTCCACTAATGCCTTTCTTTCTTCTGCTATTTCATTCCC